ACGAAAAGGTTTACAAAATTTTTTTAATCACATTGTAAGGTCATAAAGAACACATTTACTCAATATATCCCCCGCCTGCTTGAATGACCGCCTCCATTCTCGGTCTGAAGCGTGCGCAGGCGCGCTTTAATGTGTCACGGTCCATATCGGTGAATGCCGCTTCAATAGCGGCTCTCAATGATGCGACGTTTGGATGTCTGGACTTGTTTGTGACCCTTTCAACTACGCTCCGTACATAGAAGTCCAAAGGATTCAAATCTGGGCTGTTGGGAGGCCAGAATTCTTTCGACCAAAACATGTCGACGTTGTCCGACAACCAATTTTGCACCAAATGACTTGTGTGGGCGGACGTCTGTCTCACTTTAATTGTGTAAGACTTGTAGCGGAAGTCCTCCTCGACGATTCGACGCATAGTTTTCTCGCTCACACCAACAACCGACGACAATTTTCGGATCGACTGCCCTGGATCCTCAAAAATCAGCTCCTGAACCCGTTGAATGATGTCGGGCGTCCTGACAACGCGCTCCTTCGAGTGGGTTTTCCTCGCCGGTGTTGCAAAACCTTTGTTGGACTTCTCCGACTCATTGTACTTTGCGATGACATCATACACAGTCGATCTCGGATACCCGAAGAACCGAATGATTTCTGTCGCCGAGCGCCCAGCGCGAACACTTTCGATAATCGCGGCTCTTCGGTTATGCTCCGCACTTGGTTTCAACATTGCGACTGTTTCGAAGTTATGATGGTTTAGTACATGCGTCAAGCTATTTGAACGCTAATCGCGACATCTACCAGTGGTATAGAATGGCGAGAATTTCAAATTGAATCTTGTCCGGATTTTGGCGTCGCACTCTGTATATATTTTATATTTTAGGGTATCATTTATATATTTTAGGACTATCCTTTTTTTTTCAGAAGAGAATATTCTTTGTTGAAAATAGTCATTACTCAGAAGAAGGCAAGTAAACTGAGTAATTGATTTTCTTAGCAGAGCGGAATGAAGTTTTCCTCTGTGTAGTGTTGCCTGCCTTCGCGCAAGAGGCTGCGGATTCGGTATCAATGTTAATTAATACAATTTTAAAAATATATACTATACAACAATCTTTTCTTTTCACACTTGGAGTGTTCAGTCATCGATTATCGATTTCCTCCGGAGTGACTTGTTCCATCGTGCTCCGATAGGTTGAAATTTCAGCAAATATGTGCACGTTGGAGTCGCGGGATCGGCAAGAAAATGGAATTTTGAACGAACGACGCAGAAGTAATCACGTGGAATTAGCGGGGACGTAAAGTGCCATTAAAATTCCGCCTTCTACGCGATAGGGTAACTGTTTTCGAGGCTCTCGAGGAAAAGTTCGAATTCTCGTGAACTCTCTCCCTGAGAGAAAGGAGTAACTTGCTCCTGCCGTGGCTTTACAGCACCGGATAGCCGTGAAACCAGCGTTCTGTAGCCTGTCTCTCTCTCTTTCTCTCTCGAGAAGAGAGAGAGAGAGAGAGAGAGAGAGAGAGAGAGAGAGAGAGAGAGAGAGAGAGAGAG